GACACATGGACTCTTCAGCAATCCCTCACACTAAGCATGTTCGTAGCGACAGTGGAGAGGAAAAACTCCCTTTTAACAGGAAGAAACCTCCAGCAGAACCAGGCTCAGTGTGAGCGGCCATCTGCTGAGGCAGACTGGGGTTTAATTCTGATGCTTCCATTAGGTGATAATAAAACTATATTTTTTTTCTCAATCATATTGTCCTCTTAAATTTTTTTCAATGTCTCCATAAAATATGTCATATCAAATTCAGAATCTTCATTTCATGTTTTCCAGTTGAACAGATTGATGAGTGCATTTATGTCAACATTAAAATCCTTTTATTCTATATTTCTGATGTCATACAGTCCAAAACAGAAACTATACTGCATGAAAAGACCAATATCTTTAAATAAAGACCTTTACTTAATTTACACTACAGAGAAGCAGCCACCCAACCTACTGAGTGTTTTTGTAATTATCCATCATTGCCAGAGTAAACCCAGGAAAATGACTAAGCATCAGACGCTCTAATCTCTGGTCCTAATTGTTGATTGTTGAGATACAGCCTTGTAGGGAAGAGTTGTCTTCCCTGGGTATGGTAGGCAGCGTTTGATACCGTTAGTAGAGCTGACTAATTAGAGCACACTGTGGGCTTTTCGGAAAGGGGAGGAGGCTCCCTAGGTCCTGCTTTTACAGGAAGTGTGTAAATATGCAGAAGCAAATAGTACTTCCCTTGAGATTTTATGGGAACTTTTCGCTTCCTGGTGTTTATATGCAATCTCTACAAATGTCCTGTTCTAATTCTAGGCGACTTATCTCTGCCTTCTCAGAAACCCGTATTGCATGAAGGTATTTGTTGCGGGGGGACTGAGAGGGGCCCCAAAAGAAGAAGAAAACAAGAGTCCCACTAGATATTTCAAATTTAAAAAGAAAAACCCGTTGTTAAAAATAAATTATCTTTGTTTTCTCCCTGATCTTTCAGGATTAAACAGCAGACAAAGCATGAACATATCAACCATTATTGTCATTATATGTATACATGAATGCAAAAATAAATCCTCAGTGCCAGCATTAAAATTATCTGCACTTTGTTTAAGTTTAGAGCAAAACAATGTAGAAATATTCTTAAAATACAAATTCTATTTTTTTTTTGTTCTAAATAAGCCGCTTTTATTTTGAAAGGATGATTTTTATTTTTTAAGGGCTGCTCAGTGGTGCAGTGGGTAGCACTGCTGCCTTGCCGCAAGAAGGTTCTGGGTTCGATTCCCGGCCTTGGGTCTTTCTGCACGGAGTTTGCATGTTCTCCCTGAGCATGCATGGGTTCTCTCTGGGTACTCCGGCTTCCTCCCACAGTCTAAAAACATGACTGTTAGGTTAATTGGTTTCTCTAAATTCCCCTTAGGTGTGAGTGTGAATGTTTGTTTGTCCCGTTTGTCTCTGTGTTGCCCTGTGATGGACTGGAGACCAAGATGGACCCCGCCTCTCGCCCATAGACAGCTGGAGATAGCGTGACAGATAAGCGTGACAGAAAATGGATGGATGGATGCTACAACTGAGGCCAAAGTTGGCATTACAGCAAAATCTGTGACCATCAGAATTGATGGCTGATGTGGGGTTTGAACTTCTGCCTGCAGTGCATGTTTCCAGCAGCAGAGGAGAGTTTAATCAAATTTGATTTCTGAGACCAATATTGGTAAGAAAGATTGTATTTCCACAGTATTGTTCTTATTTTTTACATGTTTGTCTAGTTAAGAGATGTCAGGACTGAAGGCTGTGCTTGCCTTTCTGGTTGGGGCTGTTGAATATGCCATGGAAAAACTGCCTCTGAAAGAGACCCAACTCAGGCATGCGAAGTTTGTTGAGTTCCAGCTGAGGACAGAATGTGATGTGGAAAATATGTTTCCCTTAGTGGAAAGGTAAAGGTTTAACAAAATCGTATAGGAGTGAAGCAATATCATTGTCTTTCATGGGGCCCCAAATTCCTGGTGGCGCCCCTGGGAATCTTATTTTCAGTTGTTATTCCTATTTAAAATAGAAAATTGAGTTGAGTTGCAGCCATCCCTAGTTTATTAACATTATGGGTAAATAACCATGACAAACAGCAGGTATAAAATGTGGTATAGCTAGTGATAACTTTCAGGAACCATTAGGAAAAAAAAGAAATGCACATGCACAACCCTGTACCCACTCCCCAGAGGGAACGCCTATTAAATGCGTGCGAGAGCGTGCACAAGCCCATTTCTGCTCGTGCACGCCATGTTTAAAAGTTGGTGTTCTCTTAGCTCATACAAGCTTACTGTGTCCAAACGTCCGCCCTAACCCCTAAATCCCTCAATCACTATATAGAGTAGGTAATATATAGTGGACTTTATAGTGAACTCAGTTAACTGATCGTTCGGACAGATGATCACTACTTTTTGCTCCCCATTGGTCACGTAACTCCTCCTCCACCGCGCAGTGCCTCAGCCATCTTTGTTATGTTGGGTAGTGACAGCCTATAGCGATAGCAGGCTGCTGTTATAGCAAATCCCATGATGCTTTGCAAGGAGAGCTCTCCTCACAAAGCATTCTGGATTATATCTGCCTCTTTTGAGGCCTTTCTTTTCTTCTCATACAATTTGTAACACTTTTTCTTTAATCCGTGACCTCTGCTTTATACAGAAGCCAACAAAGCCCTTTTTTTGTTCAGAAAACATGCAAATTGATACAGACGAACGGGTCCACCCCTTTGGAATGGGGTCGTTTGGCTTCTTTTGCTAGCCTGCAATGCCCCATACCTGCCTATGTCTCTGAAAGGGGGATCATTAAAGGGAATTGTTGGCCTGGCTGAACAGGCGAGGTCTTCTGTTCCCCTGTAATGGAGTCGGGGCTGCGATGATAGCAGGAAGGAATCAACTCAATTGCTGCATTGTAGGTTTTTGAAAGCTGAAATCTGAGTCCATCTCCTTGAAAAAGCTTCCTGGATGGGAAAAGAAACGTCTTCAAACTTGGAAACAAAGTCCAGTCGATTGTTTTTTTAAAACTTTTTTGGAATGATTATGACCTGGATGACTGAGAATCATCACCAGCATAAAGAAGAAGGATTTAAGAACCTTTTTAAGTCTGGTAGGTGGGATGATCCTCAGCCTACTAGCGGATCAACAGAGCCAAGATAAAACCTTTTAACTTAAAAAACCCTAAAACATAAAGTTAGGAAACAGGTTGAACTCACTTCTTTAATATTAACTCAGTTTGTCCAGCAGTTGTGTTTCTAAAGCTTTAATTGAGGGGGGGTATAATAGCTATTAAAATCTGTAGAGGAGATGGGAAACCATGTATATGTAGATGTGCAAGAGCAAATCTTACAGAGTCAGGAACGTAGTCGGTGTCGGGAGACGAGCAGAGATTCAGATCATCTCTGCGGCTAAAGTCCTGACTCTGACGGAGCGATCGCCTTTTTTCAGACCTCTCTGGAATCGGAGTGCTGTGCGCCTAATAAACACAGACACGCATGTAAAAACATCACCACACATTAAAAGAAAAAACAACAGTAGAAACTGAAGCCAAATGATTGTTTAGTCTGGAGCTGAATGCTGGGAAACCACCCTGAGATAGCTAAGTAGGACTCTTTCTATTTTTAGATGCTGTGATGAAAGGATTTTTCTGATGGA